TGAAACCAGGAGATTCATCTGAGAAAAGCCACATACATACAGCAGACACATTGCAGTGCTGAATAGCTAACCAGATTGATTAATTCAAGTAATGGCCAAGTAGCTTCCATTACGCAACAGGCTGCAAAAGTATCTCTCACATGGGGCAAATAGGCATTTTGTAGACTTGACCACAATCTTCCACAGCTTCCACCACCTGTACCTCAGGAGAGGTCTGCATCTGGTCCATTATCATGCCACTGGAATGCCAGGGGGCGGGGGTGCAGGGTGGGCAGTGATCCTAACAGTTTAATGTACTTGTGTAAAAACAACCATCTAAGTGAGCTATTTATACCTTGAAAATTATACAAGATCAGGCCACCTCAAAACAAGGTTAAGTATTGCATGATTATCTGTTTGCAGGTCAGCATCCTTTTCCTGACAACTGAAGTAGTTTCCAAGCAACGTATTTGTGACAAGTTGTTGAGCCTAACTTATTGTGGTTGTTATACATTCCAAGATACTTGCTACGAGAGTAAACCTATTATTCCCGGTATCTTGGCTGGAATCCCAGTTGGAATACTTGAATTCCATCTGCCTGAGTTTCTCTCATTTAGTGGGATATGACATTATTTTTTATATTATAGAATTACAATTTCTTCTAAATTATGTGACAGCATTATAGATTAGTTTGTAGTCATCACAACCTGGAATGGATGCCTTTCAGTAACACAGGACCTATAATTTAGTTCATATGTCTCAGATATGGGGATGGAAAGAAAATGGATTGGCTAAGGTTAACCAGTGAGTTTCTGGCTGTAGCAGGATTTGAAAACCAGGTATGTCACAGCTTGCTATCTTAGGCAAGATTCACACAGTTTAAATTAACGTTTGTTTTGGTCATGCTTTTAATGCAAATACAAAATCTTTATCTCCATAATGCTAATTTGCTTTAGTTGACTGTGATCTTGTTCACTGCCAAGCTAAAGATATACCAGAAAATCCATGGACCTGGGGCAACAGAATCTCCACTGCAGCTGAAAGATCTGGTGTGGTATAGTCACTAAGAATGCTACTTAGGAAGCTTAAATTTCCTTGGAGCCATATACTGCACTATGTATGTCAGACTCTGAAGATTGCTCATTTGGAAGAGAAAAGAATGGAGAAGCATTGTAGTGTAATATAATGTAATTAGCATTCTTCTCCTACTCTATGCTCATTTTAGTTGTACTTGCCTGCTTGCACCCTTATTTTGAAGGAAAAGACTCATCAAGTTGTAATATGTTTTAGAGATACCTTCTTGCAAGGTCTAACTTAAAAACTGACTCTGACCTTCTTCGAGTAGTATACTAGCAAAATGACATTCTTTCACTTGACCTGCAGTCCTGATTTTTTTTTCCTAATGGAAAGAACACAAGAAGCCAGGAAAATGAAATGGCATCCATTGGAATTTGCATCCCAAAGTGATTCTTTGTATCAGTCTCTGCAGTTCTTGATAAAAGTGAAGTTACCTTCAATAGATTTGCTTTTGTTTTTGTAGCTTGAGTGCTTCGTTCAAATTAAGTCTGCATTTTCCATGCCTATTGGTCCAATATAGTAGGAAATAGAAGGGAGGGTTAAGAAGTTATTTATGCCTCAAAAAGCAGGATGATAAATGTGGATTTTAATTCTGTGATTGCACCTATGATTGCATCTATGTCTTGTAGAAATCTTCCAACTTCATGACTGCTGTGATATATGCAGACCACAGAAGGCAGCTATGTTCATCTCTGCAAAAGCACCTCTTAAGACAAGTATATGACTTGTTCTGGATATTATTTTGGAGCCTTCTAAAGGGCCATACCAATGACTCAGTTGAACACTACATTTATTTATTTATTTGGTTACATTACAAATTTGTTGTAATGCAACCAAATAAATAAATAAATCTAACTTCAGCAAGGGACTACTTACTTTTGCATTTCTCTCATTTCCACAAGAACTTTACTTGTTCAGAACAGACACGGTAAATAATTATACTCACTTTTATAAATATGTCCCATAAGGAATAGTTATGGTGAGTGGTTGCCTAGAGCTCCAATAGATCTAGGGTGCCAAATGACCCCCAGGCCGGTAGCAGCAAAAGCAGTCAAGCAAGATTTGGCATGCAGTAGAGAAAAATGCTGCACTGGTCCATTTGGGCTGCAGTCACACACCATTTAAAATTGCAATATTGTCCCCAGCATGAGCTGAACCAATTGGCTGGCAAACTTTGAGAGGCACACAGCTAATAAGGGCATAGGAACACAACCATGGTTATTTGTGGAAGAGGAGAATATGTGTCTGAAGAAGTGTTTTGTGTCATTCTTTCCCTGCTCTCTCCAAATAAGCAAAAGGTGAAAGTGGTTTCACATTGCATTTTGAAAATCAAAGATGGGCCTCAGGTCTGGACAGGTTGAAGAACAATGTTTTAAAACATGCTGTGTTCTAAAGAAATGTTTAAAACTTTTTACAATACAGTGACTGTGATCAATGTGGCAATGTTACAGAGCCAAAGAAGGAAAATAAAAATGGAAGATATCAGTATCTCAGGAAGTTCATGCTTTCTTCCCATGAACCAGTTTTACGTTGTTCAAGAACAGTGCTAATGTTGTGAGGTGATTTTTTTCTCACTTTGGGTGTCAAAATATTCTGAGACCTGTCATGGTAGGCTCTGGGGGTTTTCTACTGGAATCAAGAGACTCAAGCCAATAGGATGCTTGCCCCTCTTTAACTGATTGCAAAAATAACAGATACCCATATTCTGGCTAGAATTCTCTTTGTTCTTATCGTCATACCAATTTTCTGTACATTATATATAAATCCAGATAATGGTAACCAAGAGAAAGTGGACTTGCATATGGACTCACATGCAACCGAAGGTCAAGCTTTGCTGTTACTGTCATCTACCTGAAAATCATCCTCTAGTTTATAATACTTGGAAAATTTAGCTGCTGTTGTTACTCCAGTATATCATTTTAGCTGGATTCTATATGATACCTGAAAGCTTAATCTAAGTTACTGTTTCCAGATATCTGAAATCAGAAACTATTATGAGTAGGAGTAAGTCCTATATAATTCAAAGCAGCTCATGCTCTGGTGCTGTTTAATGTGAGATACATGTTGGTATTGGCAGTTAGGAGTAATTGCTTGAGTGTAGCAAGCTGTAGTAAATTAAATGGCATGCTTGCAAGACCTTCAGTCCTGCCATCTGGTCACCAGAATGTTTCTGCTATTACTTTGGAAATAAATAATAGTAGTGTTAAAATGTAGCAAATGTTAATATGCAATCTACATAATCTCCAAACCCTGATATTTAATACTTCTTGGAAATTTGATATAATGTTGCCATTTTTGAATGGGCATTTTTTTTGCAATAATTAGCAGCATGCTTCTGAGTTAACACCAATTGTGCCAGCATAACAATACTCTTGCACAACTTCAAAGGTAAAAACTGGACAAACTTGTGGTCATGGAGAAGAAGGATCAGAAAGTAATTAGAATTCAGTGCTCACCCTGGGATCAGTCTGGCCTGCAGTTACGGTATAATGTTATGCCTGCAAAAGATGTGGCATAATTTTAAACATTCCGAGATGTGCAGGTTGGGCCTGCCTCATTGTTCCTCACATGTAGGTGGTGCAACTGGGAACATGTAAGCAAGGATCCAGTGATGGATATTTTTCACAAAGGGGGCCCTTGGTACAAACAATGACTACCCAATGCCAAGGAAATTCAAACGATCACATACTTTATATGGGAAGATGAATAGTATTTGACTTCTCATAATTGCACTGGTGCTGTGCTAACCTCACTGCATGCAACAGGATTCTCAACTGCACACCTGTGAGCAGGGCTGCAAGGACAAAGGATCTCACTCAGCTAAGCGCTGTAGGGAGAGCATATGCCTCAAAGCAGATTCTCTGTACTTCCTCATTCACATTTCACAGAAAAAACATGTATTTGGGACATTCAAATGCCCATTGCCTTACATGATTGAAGGGGATGTAATTCTCACTTACTGATTTCCAGGCTTGTGCAGTGTGATTGCAGAATCATGCAAGAGACAACAGTTCTGCCTGTGCTAAACATGGGACTGAGCCTATGAAATGCTGTGTGGGCACAGATAAGCTGCTTAGAGCTGCTACTACTAGTCCAGCAATTGTCACTGGTACTGCTCTGTCTCTCATGGTGGGCAAGGATGTTTGCCCACATTGCAACAGAATCCCAGGAATCTCGAAGGAACCTTGGAGTCCGAGGTTTGCAACCAACCATAATTCCTGTAGGTGCTTGTGCCCAGCTGGGAGCGGTCCTGCAGTCAATCCACGCTCCCTCTCAACTCCTCTGTTCTCAGTGAGGTTGTTGCCATTCCATTATCTCAGCATAGCTGCCAATATCAGTTGCCAGACAGGAATTCAGAATGAAGGATATACAGAAACCCCAGGAAGGACATGGCATATGAGTAACTGATGGCATGATAAGTAGTACTTGACAACTGTGTTCTACTTGCCAGTTTTAGGTTGTTTCTTTGTTATAGAAGGTAAACTAATCTCTTTGTCTAGACAATTTTTTCAACATTCATTAGTATAAATACAAATGAGTATAAATTGTAAAAAAGACAAGTGGGTACCTGTGGTAAAATGTGGTATTAAAATAGATAGCTAACTATGCTTTCTTAAGCATTTGTACACACAAAGAAAGGGAACATGACACAGTTCTCAAAACTTATAAACAAGTATCTTGAAATGTAGCACATAAACAAGGCTTTATCAATTAGCTTTTCATGAGTATAAACCCAGGAAAGACACTATATAATTAAACCATAGAATGTAAGATGTCAGTGAAGTAGCTAACATTTTTCTCAAAACCAAAACATTTTGTTGTAAAATGTATCATAAACTTATTGTAGCAAGAAAGAGGTGAGGGAGGAAGGGGTGCCTAACCTTCCCCCACCCCCCATTCAACTTTTACTTGTTCATGGGTCTTTGATATCTTAACGAACTCACCTCTCCTCCACTGCAGGGAAAATGACCAGAGTATCTTGAAGTGCAAATTGCCCCTTTCTTGCTTATGTCATCATCCAGCCCAAAGGTTGCTGAGCAGTTAGTGGAGAAATATTTGTAAGGCTTCCATGTTTTCCCAAAATCCTGAGATCTCTCCAAGACCATGGCTGCTGGTCTTGGTGACTTGAACACCATGATTAAATGAGTGAAATAAAACTCAGTTTCCAAGTTCAGCTGGATCTTCTCCCTGTGTACCCCCTGTGCTGATTGCCACCATGTGTGTGGCAACTTGAAGGAAGAGTCAACCATGGCAGAAGGTGGGTGAGCCTGATGGGAATGCATGGAATTGCATTTGCTACACTTAGGCCATGTGCATATGAGGTCTACATTCTCGTTGTAGGAACAGTAATACTCTGTGGAGTTGCCCCCGCATTTTGTATCTGTCCACAATTTACGTCCATACCCTAGGTTTCCCATCCGAGGATTGCATGCCTTCTCACAGTGGGACCCAGCTCCAGCAATGCGGCTCAGTCCTAAGTAGGAAAAAGTGCAAACAGTTAAAACAAAACTAAATACAAATTATAATCCACCAGCTGTGGCCAATCTACAGTGAAAATACATTGTCATTAATTTTTCATTAAAAAAGGCAGAATTCAATTTTAGCTTACCAGAATATAAGACTTTGCAAGCTTTTGTGCTCACAGCTGTACGCCATGTTCTACACACCCCCATGTCAGTAATATGAGGATAATTATACTGGCCTGCTTCACAGGATCTCCTTAAGGATTATTAAAATCATTTATGTGAAACACTTTGTACACTCGAAATGTGCTAGATAATGTGATCATGTTAAGGGTCTGTCTAGAGAGGTGTGTGAAGTGGTGTCAGTGGATGATTCAGGAGGGCCTGTACTCTCTGAAAGACTCTCTGAATACCAACCTGCTGTAATTGGGCACTTGTTGAAATAAAGAAACTGTTGCCTCTGTTCACAGCATTAAATTGGTTTTTGCCCACATGTGCTTCCACCTGTCCCTCCTTTGAATTGTTCTGCCTGATGCTTTTTTTCTGAAATCAAATGCTCTCTGTGATTTTTTCCAACAGGATTGTCCTGAGGAGACAGGCCCTTTAAAGACACACTTCTACCTTAGACTATATGTAAATTAGCATATGCAAATATGTGGATTTGTTTTCTTTTGTTCTGTGAGCCTGGGGCCTGCATCTTTTCAGTACCACCCCAGCCCTTGAACAGGCTACCCACTGTAAATGGATTCTTTCCCACAGGCTCTTGGTAAGCAGGAGTGACAAACACCATGTATTCTCTTTCTTCAACCCCCAGATATTACTACCAAAAAGATGTAATGAAGAGACCTCAACTCCACCTCAAAAGCACAGATAGTGTTCATTTCATCTAATACTCCATGCCTTAGGCAGCCATTTTTCTTGAGTGGTGACTCACTGTTGTTGTTAGTCACTGTTGTTAGTCAAGTTGTGTCTGACCCATCGCGACCCCATGGACAACATTCCTCCAGGCCTTCCTGTCCTCCACCATCCCCTGGAGTCCACCTTAGCTCACGCTGACTGCTTCAGTGACTCCATTTAGCCACCTCATTCTCTGCCATCCCTTCTTCTTTTCCTATCTATTGTTCCCAGCATTAGGCTCTTGTCCAGGGAGCCCTTCCTTCTCATTAGGTGGCCAAAGTATTTGAGTTTCATCTTCAGTATCTGGCCTTCTAAAGAGCAGTCAGGGTTGATCTCCTCTAGGACTGACCGGTTTGATTACCTTGCTGTCCAAGGGACTCACAGGAGTCTCCGCCAGCACCACAATTCAAAGGCCTCAATTCTTCGGCGCTTAGCCTTCCTTATGGTCCAGCTTTCACAGCCATACATTGCAACTGGGAAAACCATAGCCTTGACTATACACACTTTTGTTGGCAGGGTGATGTCTCTGCTTTTTAGTATGCTATCTAGATTTGCCATAGCTTTCCTCCCCAGGAGCAAGCGAATTTTAATTTCTTGGCTGCAGTCCCCATCTGCGGTGATCTTGGAGCCCAGGAAAATAAAATCTGTCACTACCTCCATTTCTTCCCCATCTATTTGCCAGGAAGTGAGAGGACCGGATGCCATGATCTTAGTTTTCTTAATGTTGAGTTTCAAGCCAGCCAGCCAGTTTCACCCGCACCAAGAGGCTCTTTAGTTCCTCTTCACTTTCTGCCATGAGAGTGGTATCATCTGCATATCTGAGGTTGTTGATATTTCTCCCAGCAATCTTAATTCCAACTTATGATTCATCTAGCCCTGCCTTTCTCATTATGTGCTCTGCATATAGGTTAAATAGGCAGGGTGACAGTATACAGCCTTGTCGAACTCCTTTCTCAATTTCGAACCTATCAGTGGTTCTGTGCCCAGTTCTCACTGTTGCTTCTTGATCCATATATAGGTCTCTCAGGAGACAAATAAGATGATCAGGTACTCCCATTTCTTTAACAACTTGCCACAATTTACTCAGTGTCCAATTAATAGCTCTGAATCATGCAGTAAAGGTGCAATCCTATAGATATATACATAGAAAAGGTCCTACAACTCCCACAATTCCATAGTCAACATGAAAAGCTGTTCCAATCATAACATTCATAAATTCACATGACTTGCGCACAGCAATCTACACTCTCTTGGAAATATTGGTGAATGTTTTCTAGAGCAGCCTTCACAATCTGATGCTTCCAGAGGTTTTAAACTATAGGTTTCAGCATTCCTAACCATTGGCCATACTGGCTGTGGTTGATGAATTGAAAACATCTGAAAGGAACAGATTGGGGAAGGTGGCTGGAGAGGGTAGGGGTTTGAGTCAGTGGCCAGTGCCTTTAACACTGCAAAGAGAAATGTGTAGGCTTGATCAGGGTTTAGGATTCTAAAAGCAACTGGATTGTTCCCTTTCCTTTTCACATTGTTATCAGCCACTTCGTATAACAGTTGATATTCAACTTTTGAATGGCTTGGAACTGTAGTAATACTCATTTACAATTGCTTACTTCTTCTAGAACTACATATTTAATCTATGGTTGCACTTTTTTCTTCGTTTAAAAGGTCAGCTAGAATCAAACAACATATCCACCATTTCTGGTAGATCTGATTACTGAGCTGTGACAAGGCCTGGACACCAGTGCCTACAAAGATAAGGAGTCCCACCCATGGCAAAGGTATTGCCAATCAGATTCACTCTTCTGATGTTTTTTCAGGAGGCAGACCTGGTATTTGAACAATGTCTTTCCACCCACGGCTGAAATTTTTAATGTTTTCCCGGACTCTTTTCAACTCTTGTAATGACTTGGGTTAATATGCATTCCAGGGGCAAAGGTGTAGTTAACATTAGGGGTGAGTGACTTGTCCACTTCTAATCCATTCTTAGGCTCTGCTCAACAGATAACACATAATAGATTCAGATTCACTTGATAATCCTTGCAATAGAGTTAGTTATTACTAACACAATGAGAGAGCACTAACTTTTAAGAAGCTGTGAGAAACATGATCTCAACTCCAAGCCTGCACTTTGAGAGAGATGGGGAGAGGTTCCACTTCAGTATCCTCCAAGATCTGAAACTGGCAAGTTCTTTTAAAGCCACACACACACAAACAACCCCCTCTGACCAGTTAATACATTGCACTGTTGGCACAATCAGCTTAACAGCTTCCCCACCTGCATCTCCCTAAAACACTGACACATCAAGATACTAGATCACCACACTGGACAACACTGCAAAGAAATATAACCCTACTCCAACACACACACCCCTGCAAATCTGGAATAACAACAATACTGGGTTACTTTGCAGGACTGGTGTATCCTGCACTTTCTCAGCCACTTCCCTGCCTCCTGCAATACAGATCTAATACTGATGGACTTTGGTTTCATACATTGTCAAGGTATTTTTTTCAAATGTTTATAAATTTAGAAAAGAAATTATTTACCAGACTTGAAGTAGAAAGAGGAAGAAATCATCTCTTTGTTGCCACCTGCTTTTTGGTAGACACAGTACTGTCTAATCTGGGTAACATTAAGATCCTAGATTTCTAACTTTTTAGGATGCTGCAAAAACTTCCTAACCAAGAACAGTCTGAAAAGTCTTAAGCCATGCAGAAGGGTTAACACACCCAAACAGTGGGTGTGATAACCATTGCTATGACTTTATTCACTGAATGCTCAAAGGTGGGTGCAAGTTAGTTTCTCTTAAAACCAAGGGGCAGAATAGGGGCTACACAATTTGCCTCATCTTTCAATATGCCTCATATCTCATATCTCTAGAAAGCCTAGCTGGGAATTTATGGATCACCCATGGAGCGACTGAACTCCCTTGACTTCTCCTGTAGATACCCATATTTCTGCTCCCTTCCAATTGAGACTTCTTCGATATATGACTCTTGTCCTAAATATGTATGCAATATTCATTTGAAATAAATAGAATCTACATCCTGTGTTGTTGTTGTATCATTTCAGTATCACCCCAAAGCCAAAGCTATTTGGGAGATTCACAGAAATTATAAACAATACATGACATTAACACATAATAAAATCTAACAACATTTAACAATTTAAACAGTTTTAACACAATAAAATATTGGACCTGATGAAAACAATGAACAGAAATGTTTCACCATAAGCCATCAAAGTAGATGTGTTCAGGATCAGGATATAAGTATATAATTTCAGTTCAAATGCATGGAGCACACATGCCAAGAAAAGTAAATAAATACAAATGTAAAAGTCACATAATAACACTGAGCCCTTTTCAAAGTGCTGTGCAAACATTAACTAATCTGCACAACTTGCCGGAGAAGTAAGGAAATAAGTTATTATCATGTGTCTTATCAGCTATACCTGACATGGACTAGACTAATTTATATGCTGGCTGCTATACTTCTTCAGACTTATTATGCAATGCATTCAAGTTGCCTGCCACATAAACAGGTGATTGCTTACTGGGGCAACTTTTTCCATAACATTTTATAGTATTCTCTTATTAAAACAAAATGTTGACGTAGAAAAGCTTGCTTCTTATAACTCCTGTCAAACAAACAAAGAAGCAAACAAAAAACCTCGTACAGATTCTGAGAGTCTGAACAGGCACTACACACAGTTTGTTGTCCTGGAACAATTTAACTGAAAGCCAAACAGCCCTTACATTGAAAAATTGCCAAAATGCAAGATCAGACTCAGTCCCTACCCTTTTACTGTATGAAACTGAAATCTTCAAAAGACTACTGAATCAGAGTCTCACCAAGAAAATTTAGGACTTTTCTACAAATTTATTTCAGGTCCAGTTAGGATTTTCTCGTTAGCTTCCTAGTTGGTGCTAATTTTCACTGCCCTCGAGTCAAAGAGAAGTTTCATGTGTTTTAGCTTAAGATAACATATTTTTCATGGCATTTGACTCTGCCATGCAAATTTGATTTTTCAGTGTAGTACAAGGAAGAAAATCTGAGTGAAAGGGACAACTCCACTTGGTATGATGTGACATTTTTCTGGCATTGTACTAATCTATCTCCAGATTACAAAAATGCCATTTTAGAAAATAGGTATTTTTCACACTGCCAATCAGAAGAATATTAAATGCATTTCCTGTTCTTGGAGAGGCACCCGTTCTTTCTCTCTCTCGCTCTCTCTTTCCATCCCTCTTAATATTTATGGTTAACTGAACACTACCTTCCAGGCTATATGCCATACATACCACTGAACAAAATCTGTAGTAATGGACAAAAGCACACAAGGTATAAGTGTGACTCACCTGTAAAAAATTCGGGGCTAAATCATATGTTTCCCGTTAAAGTATTTTTTTCAGCCAAATTTATTTGCCTTTACAATATTTCATTATTGCCTTACAAATTGCCTGTACAACAACCATATTAAAAGCTAATAATGAGACTAAAAAGAAATATATTTAGTCACTGAAAATAGCTGAAGGACACACTGTAAATATTACATGAATTCATTTATATGGCCAGGTATTCACATATAATAATCTGCAATGCTTTTTAAGTTTCTCTGTGCAGCAGGCTGTTTTTCCCACCATTAGCTGCAGTGAATGGCTAAGCTGCTTTTACTTAGCAACAGAAATATTACTAATACACTAGTAAATCCTATTTTCTCTCTAAAACTGAAGTTGTTTCTCTCTCTCTGTACTGCCAGTAGCTAAAACTTGATTATTTAGGGTGTAGTCTTATGCATGCTTCGCTGGTTAAAAGTCCTACAATTCCCAGCATGCCCCAGCCAACCATGTTGGAAGTTGTAGAAGTTTTCTTTGTCTAAGCACTCATTGGATTGAGCCCTTAGTGATGGATACAATTTACCCAGAAGACCTTGAACAGGTGGAAAAAGCAGGTCCGGAAGCATAGATACCCATTCATGGCATAAGGGTGTGAATGAATGTAATTTTTTTTTTGCTTTGTATCTCACCTTCTCCTTCCTTGGGCCAATTCATATCAAGGAACTCATTCTTTTGTCAGAAGGGCAATGGTGCAGACTAAGGAATGGAAATTTTAAGGATCAGTCCAGGTGCACATCACATTGTAGATTTGCAATCTCTTCTCTTGTGCATGAACAATAGTAGCAGGCAGGAAAAATGTAGGCATTCCGAACACCCCCCAGAATGTAGGCATTCTGAACACTCCCCACCCCAGAGTAATGTGTATAAATGATAAGACATAAAATACAAGTGGAAATTGTTTCATTATATGCTGGGAAATAATTTTTTTCTGCAAGGTATTATCTTGCAGACAGGACCTTGTCCTTCCTAGCTCTGATGGTGTGGATGAGGGTAAGGAGAGTTAAAAGCAATGTGGCTGCAGGGAAGTTGCTTTCTTTAAATTATCTCATGTTTTAAAGACAATTCACAATGTTTCTAAATGCAAAGGGTCTGTTTCTTGATGCACTAAGGATGAAAATGCCATAAATTATTCATAGATACTATATATTTAGGAATATTAATTAAGGCATTCACTTATTTAATATCAACATGCTCAAACCTTTGCAGAAAGTAATTCAGACCTCACATGTTTTTTCTGAGTCACTATGTTAGACCAATACTTAGTCACACATTCATTTCTATCCCACCTTTTTCCTCTTGCAAGGAACCCAATGTGATTTCCACTGACTTTCTCTTCCTCTGCCTTTTATTCTCACAACCACCCTGTGAAATAGCTAGGCTGAGAGCCAATGATGGGCCGAAAGTCACCCAGAGCGCTTTCTAGCCCTATTGAAACCAGTTGGACGTCATGACTACTTTACACCCCATTGATTTCAATGGAACGACAGAATAACTAGGTTAGTGTAGCTTAGACCCAATATATTTAGTTGCTTTAAAAAAAACTTGGACATTTGATTCTGCCATTGAAAATATCAACTAGCTTCTCAGAAATACCATTATTGCTGATACTTTTGTGTTGAATGAAATGAGACTGCCCCAGTAGGGAAAGTTTATATGCCATAATTAATGTGCTAGTCCTTAAGGTGCTAAAGAGTCTGTTGCTTCCTTACTCTTTAGTTCATAGTTTTTACACTATAGATCCACATTGCAGTTTATGATGTCCATAAATTTGGTGCTTTTTGCATTTCCCAAAATCCCTGAGCCATGCGCAAAAACGGTCTGGGCTGGATATGTTTATTTAGCCAATTTTAGATGGCGGGATAAGACGTCACCCGTCTGAAGTTTGTCTGTTGCGCTGCACTTGCCTTTCTTCTGAAGTCACTGAAGAGCCATCAACTGTTTAGAAAGCGAATGTTGTTATCTCATTTACCTCGAAGGCATTTAGAAAGGGAGGTATGTGTGTGTGTGTGGGGGGGGGAGGGTTGAGAAGCGCGGTTGATCTGAGTTCAAACTAGGAGCCCGACTGCAGGTAACAAGAGACGTTTCTTTGGATTACTGTCAGGCGTCCAACCCCTGCAAGCTCTGCTCAAGGCGAGGAACGGGTCTGCGGGACGGGGCGGGGCGGGCGACATACTCCAAGTTTTCCCTGCATCTTCACTTTGGTCGCCGGGAACGGTTCCTCAAAGTAAATCCTCTTCAACTATCAGTAGACCTGCAAATAACTGAAGGAACAGCCAAGAGAGAGGAGGACAGGAAAAGAAACGCGCGCGCACCCACCTGCAGCCACGGCAGAGCAGCCCAGCAAGACAAGGTGCCAGAAGGGACTCCCCATGGTGCAGCTCCTGGGCAAAGGGCATGGAGTCCACGATCGACGGCTGCCCGCTGTATCTTGCGCCTACTGGCCGCTAAGGGCAGCGGCGAGACTCCATCGCCACACGCCCCCGCGGTGCTCCAGTCGGAGGACCTTTCGAGCCCAGGCGAGCCGCCAGTCGGATTGCGGGCATCGCCGCCGCTGCCTCCGACGCCTCTGCCCGGCCGCTGAACTGCTTTCACAGCCCTCCTCTTCGTTGACGCCCGGGAGCCCCGGCCAGGTGCATTAAGAAGAGGCGCCGACGAACTTTCTCTCCCGCCGCTCCCGGCTTGTCTCTTATGCCTGATGACAGCCCAGAGAGGGGAGTGGCGGCGGCGGCGGCGGCGGCGCGTAGTACTGCAGCAGGCGCAGCGCCTGGATAGCAGCGGCGGCGGCGGCGGCGGCAGGAAGGGCCGTGCTGGGCCGCTCCCGCCCCCGCGCCCCGAGGAGAGACGCCGGTGGCGAGGAGGAGAGGCCGCCTTTCCAGTCTCCCTGAGAGCCGCCCTCGCTCTCCTGCAGCCTCAGCCGCCTTCCGATTGCTCGGCAGTTCTGCTCTCCAGGACGACGGGGGCGGCGGAGGGAGAGGGTGGCCCCGGAGCAGCAGGCATGCCGCCGCCACACCCGCTCACAGCATTCCTGAAACCCACTGACTTTTTCCCGCTGTCACATCGCGGCACGCGAAGGTGCTTCAGACTGACAGACAGAGCCGGCCTTGGCGAAGATGGAGCCCCCTCCCTCCTTGGTGCTGGCGCTTCCCGGTCGGCTCCCTCCCCACGCTGCCTTCTCCCCAGCCTCACAATGTGATCGCTTCCCGCCACAGCTCTCCCCCTGGCGCGCCTGGCCCCTCCGCGTGCCCCACGCAAGTGTCGAGCTCCTCGGGGGGGGGGGGGTCCTGCCCCAGCGCCCTGCCGCCCGCGGGCACTTGCTGAAACGCATGATCTCTGTTGCCGCGACCCCCACCCCGGCTCAGCTCACTTTTTGCCCATATGCGCTTCATCTCCAGCGGCCCCCGGCTAATTTTGATTTTATCTTTGTTTTATTGTGTTTTGTAGTTTTAGATTGTGATGTAAGCCACTTTGGAAGGCTTCATCCTAAAAGATGGCCTGTAAATCCTTGAAACAAATCAATGTGTTGCTCCTCTTCAGCCTTATTATCCACCAGTTCATCCCAAATGCTGTTACAAAGTTATTTCATAAACTCTCATAATCTGTAAAGTACATGTCTTTAACCATTTCACACACCCATTAATTTCAGCTTCTGTAGAAGATGCTGAATTGATCCCCCATAGGTGCCATCTCTACCTGCAATGCTTTTCATATGCAACAGCTCAGTATGTGAATTGAGAAATACCCTCCACTGCAAGCTTTACTCTTTATGCTTTTATTGACAGGTAGACATTCTTCTGAGCTATGTTGGGAATTGCTGCACGCTAGAGACTATCATCTCGAATAAAGGGGTGTCTGTCATTTTGTATGCTGTTAACCTGATGTGGCACACATACATCTTGTTTATATCAAAGTGGCTCACAGTGCTCTACTGAGTTAGAAGGCTGGGAATGGGTTAGGCTGTGGTGTGGGTAAAAATTGGGCTGAGGCACCTTTCAAAAGTGGAGGATTTGCTTATGAAGGGTGCCTTCTCTCTGTATCATAGCACAGCCCATTCACCATGGTTCTCTGACTATCCACATAACATTTTGAGGGAACTTGAGGACTTGCTGTTGGGAGGAGGAGATGAGGAAATCTGCTTCCAGTAGCCCAGTTGCACACATTCAATATTGAATTAACCTGCTATCTAAAAGTAAAATCAAAAGAACTCCTTTTCAAACTTCTTTAGGGTTTTGCCATGATAAATTATGACCTTCTGATAAGAAATGAGGTACCTGATCTTTGGGAAAGGAACTATAGTGAAAGCCAACTTGTGGTTTATTGATGAAGCAGTCACTTCCTCAAACTTCATTCTACAGTTCCATGCTAAAATGACAAATCAAAAGTATCAAAAATCATAAATGTGGTAGGATACATTTCCTACATTGGTAAGTCATTTGTTGCGCATGGTGGAATCTGTATGTTTGCTTCCAATGTTTTATTTTGCATTTGTTTAGCTGTGATATGACAAGTTCACTGAATGCAACCTAAAATGAAACTACAGTAACTGCCATTCAACTTGATATTATGTTGAAATAGAAATTATTAAACTTCTATGACTGAGCCAGCTCAGCTTGGGACATTATAATCTCTCAACAGTACATGACCTGGAATTGTCAAAACCAGTAACTAATAAAGAAGAGATTAGATACGTGGTTCTGTAGCTGAAAATTCCTTTCTAGGCACAAAGTGTAAATGTTTAGACAGAATAGTCACTGGGAAGTTTAAAAAAAATAATGAAAGTTTGCACTGACCATTAGATATACAGAAAATATCACCATAGTTTCATTTCTAGTTAGAGCACTGAAGACAATCGGCAAATGCTAAATAATTATAATCATACAGGTGTTTATGAGAGGGCCTAACACTCAAAGAAGCAATAGCCATGAGATTATGATAACTGTTTATAGTCACAGTGATCATATTTTGGAAGCTATTTTAATACACTGGCAAAAGGTAGAAATTTCCAGAGGGGTGTCCTTGTTTTCTGTTGCAGCAGAAACAACACAGAAGCTTGTGGTATCTTAAAGAGCAACACATTTTAATAAAGATGGTTCTAAAGAGGCACAATAGGCAAGGGTACAGGTATAAAATCATACAGATGATATCATTGATGTTTGAAGGGGCTGTGTTTTCAGAAAATATCCATACCTATCCTCTTTTACTGGTGCATGAATTGAGAACAGGGTTGGCAAGATTGAAATCAAACGTTTTACCGTACCATCCAATGAAAGCGCCTGTAACCCTTCAAACTTGGTGGATTAACAAGCATCCAAATGAAGGCAGAAGGAATGCAGAGGCAAGGATTGTTGCTACACTTCTATCCTGCAAGAGACACAGTCAATTTCAGCTGTCTATGCCTTTTGCCCCTGCTTGCCAGAAAGACAGGCTGAGACACTGCTGGGATTCCTCATATTCTGGCAGTCTCTCACTCCTCCTCCCAATGCCTCCCACCTGCTCCAAAGTCATGCTTGCAATTTTGGAGCTGCAGTCATTGTGGAAAGAACGGTACCAGCTGCACTTCACAGACTGGAAGGAGGTTACTGCATACTCTGAGTCACAGCTCCCATCTTTCTGAGGTCAGAGCTGGGACTCCAACCAATCCAATGGCCATCTACACAATGTCTAGGGCCAAAGGGTTGTGTCTTGAATAAATTATGCATTTTACCACATTTTCATCACATTCATGCATTCAGGCTCATTCAAAGGAAAGGAAAATAAAAAAGACACTTGGCTTTTGCAGATTACTAAAGGCAAGGCAGAATTGCCGTATTATCCCACACCCAAGCTGAGATAATATAATTGAGGAGAACTGGTAGGCTGAAGAAAGGTCACCCCCCCCCCCCCCCGGCTTTCCCCTGAAAATGTGCACAAGCAGTTCCACTCTCCAGGCAGCAACAGGAGTGCAGGGCAAGGAAGTGGATGACAGCTGCTGAAACACTCACTTGGGTAACTGTCATCCCCACTCTCCAGTGTCTCCATGGGGTCCCCTGGGAGGTACCTGAGGACTCCTGCTGGATCTGATCATTGGTTCAGCACAGCTGGGGTTCTCAGGATACTGTAAACTTGGGGTGGCTATATAGTGACCCCGGGCTTAAAGTGGTGCTGGAAGCCACACACAGTGTTCAATTCTGACAGTTGTGTAAGTTTGCTTGAAGGGTTTGCTTTGCTGTATTAAATTCCAATTTTATCTATTCTAACCTATGCAAAGCTGGGTTCATGTCTGTCACAATCAGAATGTAACTTAGAAACAAAGCTACTGTGATCCCCATCACAAAAGAAATATTTTTCTTTGATGCTAACATCTGCTAAAGGGTTCCATTGGAAATTCTCTTGATCTTCTGGTTAATGAAATATTACTTTTACTTCATTGTTTAAATGTGACAAGAAAGACACATGTTATAAAATATGTTAACAGACATTAAAAAATTAGTTGTCTTGCTGACAAACACCTATATGGAATAGGCAGCTTTGGCCTAGAGGCTGCATGTGACAGGATTGTGGGGGGCAGGGGGGGGGGACACACTGTTGTCCAGTGTATACCTCCTGCAAGGAACACTTCTGTGAAGAAGCATTTTGCAGCACCATCCTTGTTCATGTGTGGGAAGACTATTTGAGATGCGTATCTCTAATCAGAGATTAGATCACTAGCAGTCACCCTTGCAGTACAGCATGAGTTCCACTGTTGATAATGAACTCCAAATATTTCCACCCAAGCACATTTCTTCTCCTGTTAAGCCACTAATATTGCTACCATATAATTAGTTCAATTGTTGGAAGACACTACAGCTGTTTGTAATTCAGAATAAACAAATAAATAAACAAGCATAGACATACATTTATATTTACAAGAGTTGAGGAGGATCCAGCTAGGGAAATCCTGGTATCTCATGGTGGGGACTTTTTTCTAATTTCCAACCCACATTTATCCATGAACAGGTTAAATGGATTTGTTCTTTGTCTTCAGGTTATCCTTTTTCTTAGGAAAACCCTTCCTCCATATTTGGGTGCAGTGGAATAAAATCCTCTCTTCTCTCTTTGTTGCAAGGCTAAATAAGTCTACCTTTATCCTTCCATATAAGATATATTCTCCATTCCAGCAATTATTCCAAGCTGCTTTGTACAAGTTGGAACTGAACATCATAGACTCCTGAATTCAGCATATCGATTTTTCTTAGGAAAGGCTGCAACTATTTCACATTATTAGCTTGTTTTCCATGTGTGTGCATGTGTATGCCAAATAAGAATAAATAACCACATGCTAACTAGTGAAGACTGACAGTTTTAATGTCAGTTGGATGGTATATCCACTTCAGGATTTGGTCTCACTTTTAATGAGCTATCCATGGTGCTGAATCATCTTCCCCCCACCCTAGGTTTTGGCACCATGGATAGCTCCTTCAACAATCAGACTGAAACCGAGAGTGCATACACCACACCACTGGCATTGATCACCATTCCTGGTAACTTGTACAGTGACTTTCTGAAATTAACTCTTAGTAAAGTTCCAGTGGAACCTGATCTTCCGAAAGAATTCAGCATATATTTGGCTGTTTCTCCCCGCCTTGGATGAAAATATTCCTTTGGGTGTCAGGTGAAAACCTTTTTATTTTCCCATCATGTTAATGCCTAGATGATTTTAACT